CTTTAAACCTCATGCTCACATCCTGCTTCTAAAGTCATTCTCTTAATAAAACAAATAAGCATTCCTTGGACAGATGGCTGTGTCTTGGACTGGGGCAAGAAATTTAAAAGATGAGTGTGAGTCTGGATGATCTTATACTGCCAGAAAGAAAACTTTACATAAACAAATCCTTCAAAACAAACAAAAAACACATTCCAAACAAAACCTCCACAATGACTGGGGTACATTAGAAGGACTCAGGAGCCAACTGAGGGCTACTAGCCAAGGCTGGAACCCTAAGTAGTATTTTGTATAAGCCAAAGTATAAAATAACTGCAATGTCTATAATGGTATGAGTAAATAAACAACTGAAAAGTAAGTAATAAGCGGAAATGAAGAGATTAATCCTTCCCTACAGAAGAATTCCAAATAATTTTGTTCCCAAGATGGTGGAACATAACTCTTCACTTAAGTATGGGCTGTACAAGGTAAATTTCTTCCAAAGAGTACAATACTGAGAGAGGAAGAAGAACAGCACTTCTACAGCAGGGGGACCTGACACAAACACTGCAGTGGCCAGTCATGTTGATAGTATAGACGTGTGATAAGTGAGGAAAACGGTCTGTAACGCTATGGTCTTTCTCCCCATGCCCACAAAACCCAGTCTAAACTTAAGAAAGATAATATCAAGTATATTCCATCAGAAGGACTGTATAAAATACTTGACCAGTACTTCTCAAAACGGTCAAGATCATTAAAAAAAAGTAAAATCTGAGAAATTCTCACAGCTATGAGGAATCTATGGAGATGTGACAACTAAATATAGTAAGGTTATTAAGCAAAAACTAAGAAAATCTAGAAAATAACTATTGCCGTTAGCTAATAATATAGCTGTATCAGTTCACTAATTATAAAAAGTGTACCATACTGATGGGGATTTAGCTTGGTGGCGCTGTGCTTGCCTCACAAACACAAGATCCTGAGTTAAATCCCTGGTACCAGAAAAAAGAAAAACTGTACCATACTAATGTAAGATATATGTAACGGGGAAACAGTGTACAGTATAGGAGAACGCTCTGTACTATATTTATAAATTTTCTGCAAGTCTTAAATTATTCAAATAAAGTTTATTAAAAACTGTTCAGCTTTAAGAGTCAACCATTCATATGGATAAATTTTTGGTACCAGGGATTGAACTCAGGCCCCTTGTGCTTGTGAGGTAGGTGCCAGAACCACTGAGCTAGATCCCAGGCCCACATATGGATAAATTTTAAAAGACTATTTTTTAGAACAGTTGGAGATTCACAAATCAAACATATACATAGTTTCCATGTTATGTACCCCTGACACCTGCCTCTTTTCCTCTATTATGAACTTCTTACTGCGATAGTGTAGTCTATCTGTTATAATTAATGAATCAATGTTGAAACATGATTATCTAAAGTGCATATTTTAAGTTAAGGTTCACTGTGTTGTACAGTTCTATGGGTCTGACAAACGTATAATGCAATGTATGCACTACTGTAATACACAGAACAGTTTCACTACCCTAAAATTCTGTTTTAACTCATTAACCTTCCCAGCCTCAGAATCCCTGACAATGACTATTTTTTTACTATCCTTTTATAGTTTTGCTTTCTCCAGAATGTCATGGAGTTGGAATCATATAGTATGTTGCCTTTTCTGAATGGCTTTTACTTAGCAATATGCATTTAAGATTTGTCATTTTGTGGCCTGATAGCTCATTTATTTTATTGCTAAATAATATTCAATCATGGGACAATACCATAGTTTGTTCATTCATTCACTTATTGAAGGACATTTTGGTTGCTTTCAGTTTTTACAATTATAAATAAACTCCCATAAAGATCTATGTGCATGCTTTTGTATGGACAAAAGCTACCAACTCATGTTACTTAGAAGTATTTGATTTAATCTCAAAATATTCTGGGGTTTTCTGGGCAATGTTCTGTTATTGGTTTCTGGTTAATTTTATTATGGTTGGAACGTACTTTGCATGATTTGTATTTTTTCATATTTGCTCAATTATGTTTTAAGATCTAAAATGTGATCTCTTTTGGTAAATGTTCCATGTGAGCTTGATCAGAATGTACATTCAGTTGTTGTTTGATGAAATACTCTATAAATTTCAGGTAGACCCAGGTAATTGATAGTGCTATTCACTTTAATTATGTGTATGCCTACTGATTGCCTGTTGGATCTCTGTCAGTTACAGATAATATGGTGTTGAAGTCTCTATCATAGTGGAATCATCTGTTTTTCTTGAAGTTCATTCATTTTTGTCTCATGTATTTTGACTGTTCATATGTGTTAAGGATGTTATATCTTTCTTTGAGAATTTATTTTACATCTTCAGTCAGGTTTTGTAATTTGTTTTTTTAGATAATTTTATCTAAGTTGTATAATTTGTTGGCATACAGTTGTTTACAGCATTATTTAATAATTCTTTTAATTTCTATACCATTCCATTCCTCATTTAGCAATGTGCATTTTTTTCCTCTTACTTTCTTGGTCAGGCTAGCTCTACAAAGTTGTCCATTCTGCTCATCTTTTCAAAAGTCATCAGTTTCTCTGAATAAATAAAATTTAGTACAGCCATCCAGTAAGCTATTACTCATCCATGAAAAGGGAATGTAGTATTGATACATGCAACAACAGGAAATAATCTTGAAAACATACTAAGTCAATGAAGTTAGACTCGAAGGGCCACATATTGTGTGATTTGCTTTATATGAAATGTCCACAATAGGTAATTATTGGTTGCCTGTGATTTGAAGAAAAGCAAAGAGAAAAAAACAATGGGATTGTTTTTGATGATCAAAGTGTTCTAGAATTAGATTGTGGTGATGGTTGTAGTTTTGTGACTATACTAAAATCAGCAGATTAGACACTTTAAAAAAGTGAATTTTATGGAATGTGATTGTAATAAAAATAAAAATTAAATTAAAAATGCTCCTAACTGAATAAGCTGTATGCTAGGCCACAAAACAAGTCTCAGTAATTTAAAAAAGTTTGAAACTATCAAGTATGTTTTCTAGCATGTAGAACTAAAGATCTAGAATAGAAAACCACGTGGGAAACTCCCACATATTTGGAAACTAAACAGTATACTTCTAAATAACTCATGGGTTAAGGAAGAAATCATGAAGGAAAATTTGAAATATTTTGAAATAATGAAAATGAAATACAAAATATCAAAATATAGTGAATGTAGTTAGTAGTACTTTGAGTAAAATTTATAGCTAAAACACCTGTAACTGAAAAAAAGAAAATTGTCAAATTAATAGCATAAAATTCCATCTCAAGAAACTAGAAAAACAAAAACAAATTAATCTAAAACAAGAAGGAGCCAGGCATGGTGGCACACACCTGTAATCCCAACACTCGGGAGGCTGAGGCAGGAGGATCGCTGTGAGTTCAAGACCAGCCTGGGCTACATAGTGAGTTCCAGGTCAGTCTCAACTATATAGTGAGACCCTGTCTCAAAAAACCAAATAAATAAATAAATAAATAAATAAATAAAGCAAGCAAGCAAGCAAGCAAGCAAGCAAACAGGAGGAAGGAAGGAATAAAGATTCAGGCCAGGGATTTAGCTCAGTGGTTCTGCTGTCTGCCTCACAAGTGCAAGGTCCTGAGTTTGAGCCCCTGTACTCCCCAAGGAAAAAAAAAGATTAGAACAGATATCAATAAAATAGAAAAAAGCAAAACTAGAAGTATGACTAGAGAACCCTGTGAGCAGCTGCCTGCTCACCACATACTTGTCTCCACAGACACACTGCAGTATGGTGATGAAAGTTTTAGGACACCATGGAGAGAAAAGTAGGAGTTTATGTGGGATTACTTTTTTAACCAAAGTAATATGTGGACTTAGGCAGATCCATTGATTTATGGATGATTTTTGCCCTACTAAGTTGAGATCAAGGTTCTTATTTTTGCTTTTTTTGAATCAAAAAATGATACATATCACTTTTCCTTTCATCCCCAAGCATAATAGAAACACACACTGTGTGTGTGTGTGTGTACTGGCTTCTTTGGCCATGAATATTATGGCTCATTTCCCACCCTGCAGGGCTCACTAACATTGTGGTTCAGAACAGAAGGTAAGGCATGCAGCCAGGGAAAGTTGAAGCATGTGGAGTAGAGCTAAGATGGTAAGAGTCGACTCAGCCCTGTTGGCCTCTTTTTAAACCCAAAGACTATTTGTAAACATTCAGGAACTTGGGTTAGCCCCACACATGGAAAGACAGGCACATAAATGCATAGAAACACACTCAAGTCACCCAGGCTCCACTTCCCTGAGTATAGTAGTTAGCTAACTATCTAGGAATTAGATACCTTTAAAAAGTGTAGTCACAGCTGGGCGAGGGGTGCATGCCTGTAATCCCAGCACATGGGAGGCTGAGGCAAGAGGATCGCTGTGAGTTCGAGACCAGCCTGGGCTACATAATGAGTTCCAGGTCAGTCTCAACTACATAGTGAGACCCTGTCTCAAACCCTCCCACCCAAAATAAATAAATAAATAAAATAAAAGTGTACATCACATACAAACTTATCTACAAATGTTCATATAACTAGTATTCATAATACCCCCAAAATAGAAACAACCTAAATGTCTTTCTCTTCTAATTAACCCAGTTTCAGTCTTCCTGAGAGACGTCAATTTCCCATTGCCTATCACCATTGTTAATGGTGAAGATTCTTCCTCCTAAATCTTCATTCTAAAACTGAATCTGAACACTCTTCAATCCTTTAAGAAGACAGAGTTAGGTGATGTTTCTCTGCCACTCTGTTTATCTCATTCTGGATAAAGGTAGTAGAGTAAGGGTTGGAAATAAATATAGGAAACCAAAGTATGAAACATGTTCTCCAAGAACAAAGAAAATATGTTCTTGGGTAAAAGAGACTGACTACTTAACTAAAAATTGGCCTGATCTGGCCAAAAAAGACTGCATGTGACATTCTCAGGTATTCTTTTATAAGATAAGATATTCATTCTGTACCTGCTGGTTGAAATATCCTCAAAAGGGTAGAGGATCTCTCCATTGTTACAGATTTCGCAGATGAACCCCTTCTGGCAACAGAGACTGCAGCTGTACACATGTGAGGTGGCAAATTTAATGACCTTGCCCAAGAATGGAGCCAGTTTTCCTTCTATCACCTGCAGAAAGACAAATGGTACAGGGAAGAAAATTTACTGAGGATAGAAAAAAGTCTTGCAAGAAGCAAAAGGAACTCCTTTCCTTTACACAACAGGAAAACCTCTAATTATAATTTCTCAGCAACTCTGAGGAAGAAAAGACTCAGGACTCTGGTTTTAAACCACTGGAGGTTGGAAAATGAAGTTGGTGAAACTTCTTTTGTATTTCTTTTTCTTTGTAGTTGGTAGAGGGGACTGAGGACCAACAAATGGGGAACCTACTTGAATAGACCAACTTCATAGTTATGGTGTGATGTAAGAGGAGTGTGGTAGGTTTTCTAAAACAAACTGTGAAAATACAAATGTAGAAATTTATGTGGTAAGTTCAATAACATCTTTTCTCTAATGCATTCATGGGATAGTTTTTCATCATCTCCCCAAGAGAAAAATGGGTATAGTAATATAAAGAGGTTGTAATGTGACAGTCTGAGAACTATTTTCAGCCTATAATTTTAGTAGTGTTTAAAAAAACTTGGGAAATTTTCTTAAAAAGAAACAAAACAAAAGATATAATAAAATTAGCCTAAATTCCAACATGAATAGGGGCTTCTTACTCCTGATGAGGGACATGCTGTCCAGTTGACACTTGTCCCCACCAGGCCCTGGTATCTTCTTCCCCTTGTTACCTTACCTGATAGTTTGCAAACACCTATGAGTTTAGTGATGTGTGTTTTATTTGTCTGTTGTTTTGAGATATGGTCTTGCTATGTACTTGAGGCTGGCCTTGAACTCACTATGTAGCCCAGGCTAGCCTCAAACTGCAGGTTATCCTCCTGCCTCAGCCTCTTGAGTGCTGGGATTACAAGTGTGCACCACAATGCCTTGCTAAACACCCATGAGTTTAAACTTCTCACTTAGTTATTATTTATGGGCTTCAAAGACTTTAGCACTTTCCATACTAGCAAGATAAAATCTGCCTTTATTTTTGTCATCAATGTATATGCATATACATGCTAATTTGGGTATAAGAAAAAAATGGAGATTAAATCTAATTTAAAAATAGCTGAAAATGAACAAGGAAGAGCTAGCTGAATGCTTTCAAATGAATATAATTAAAATCATAGTTTTACATACAACTGAGGGAAATAAATCATACCTACAGAAAAATAATAATGTCCAGGTGAGTAAGTTGTAGTGACTGGGAATACAAAAATAAAAGAATACAAAGAATATAATTATGTCTTTTAAAAAAATGAAATTGTACTAGACATAGAAACTAAGGTGACTTTTAATCTTGGGAATAACACAATGATTTACAAGTAATTATAACTCTAGGGAGGAGGGCAAATCAGAGAAGCAAGCCTGTCATTTTATACATAGTTATGTCTTTGCATTTAAAAAAATAATGAATGTATATTATCTTTGCATTAAAATGCAAAAGATAAACAAAAATTTGAGTTTACTGCTTTGTAAGAATGGAGTTTTTTTTTTTTTTGGTACCTGGGATTGAACTCAGGTCCTTGCGCTTGCAAGGCAGGCCACCGAATCGCTGAGCTAAATCCACAGCCTGGAGCTTTTTTTCTTTATGAAGGGATTAGGAATTACCCTGGCTATTATCTGAGTCAGGCTATTATGTTTTTCACCATTCTTCAACTTACTTCTTTCTCTATAGCCTTTAGGAAGCTGTAGGTAGACGTTATTTCATTTTTGTTTTCTGAGGGCCCATTACGTCTGATAAACTCCCACTAAAGCATGTTACACACGGTACACGCTTTCTAAGAAATAACCACTACCAAATCATATACCAAACCACCAGTAAACACTTTCCACTGTGTCATAGGATTATTTCCAAATTGTGGTAATATGACAGTTGAGTTTAGCTTTCCTTACTTTACTCTTTTCTTAAATAACTAAAGTTATGACATGTTTAAAGAGAGGCACGGGATATTAAATAGTCTTGGAAACTTGGTAAGTATCAGTTGTTTGAAGAAACTGGGAATGAGAAGAAAACTTTGAGGAAGAATGAGAGTTTTCATCTAGGATCTAAAGGAAAAGATTGAGCATCTTGTACAGAAAGCCTTTTCTCTCTAGATTTCTCTGAACATTTTGAAGGATCTTGACATATTTCATCAAATTTACACTACCAGCAATGTTATGTTTATTCCTACCTATGGACTTTAATAAGGCTTTTTTAGGGGGTACCAGGGATCGAACTCAGGTCCTTGCACTTGCGAGGCAAGTGGCGGAACCACTGAGCTAAATCCCAGGCACTTTAATAAGATTTTGAAAATTAATTTTGGGACTTATACATTTATAATATTTAGTCTTCCTACCAAAGAACCTGATAAACTTCTCCATTTTATTAAATCTTTATTATTACTTAATAAAAATCTTTTTCCCTTATATAAGCCATTCACATTTATTACTTAGATTATTTCAAGGTTAAATTTTTAAATAATGTTTTTTCTCATTAGCTATTACTGGGATATTATATTGACATCTGTGTACATCTTACATATGACCATTTTCCTATATTTCATCAGTGCTAGTCATTTTTAGGTGATTCTTATGGGTCCTCTTAAAGTAATTCCTTCTAATATTATATCTCCTCTTTATGTTTCATGTTTTATGCTATCACTCAGACCTTCTAAAATAATATTAAATAATAGTGCTAGTAGCCATAATTGTTATTTCATTAGAATCAAATTGGGAATTATGAAATCTACTCTGAGTGACTAATTTTTTCCATTAAACATATATTTCCTGTATTCACTACATTTTATTGATTCCGTCTCCCTATTTTTTAATAACACCTTTACAGAAATATAATTCACATACCATATAATTCAACCATTTAAAATGTGCAATTCAATGATTGTTATTAAAGGAACTGTATGCCATTACTATAATCAGTTTTAGAACATTTAATCCATCTTCCCCTAAATCCCCATACCCATTAATTTCTCCCTTTCCCTGCTCCCCCAAGTCCTAGGAACCAATAATCTACTTTCTGTCTCTATAAATTTGCCTATTTCATATAAATGGGGTCGTATAATAGGTATTTTTTAGAGACTGGCTTCTTTCAATCAAGTTTTTGAGGTTTATGCTGTTTCTTTAAAATATCTACTATCTAAGCCAGTCTCTCTCTGCATTCCTCCCTTCCCACCTTCACCATCCTACTCCAGGATCTTATCACCCCTCTCCAGATTAATGAAAGAATGTCCTGATTTTATTTTGAGATGCCAGTCTTTTTCTTTTCTTTTTTCTTTCTTTTTTCCTTTTTTTTGTACTGGGGATCGAACTCAGGACCTCAATCTTACCAGGCAGGTGCTGTGCCGCTGAGCTACATCCCTGGCCCATCTAGCATACACATTAGTCAGTTTTAGATACCACTTGCATATGTATACCATGAGGCATAAGGGCATCATCTTTTCTGTCAATCCTTGGTGAATTCTTACTTTATCATGAATCAAAGCTTCTCACTCATTCATTTCATAAACTGTACTGTCCCAGACCTTCAATACAAGAGTAAACTAGATTAAACTGGAGCTTACATTTCTCTTGATACACAAGGACTGCCACTGGTTGATGCCACACTATCTAGTTCAAGTCATTTCCATGTTGTGAGCGAACTTTCTCCTGTCCAGAACATGCTTTTTAGCTCCTGTCCCTTTAGCCATGTCATTTCCTCTTTTAAGAGTTTTACTTCTTTTCTTAACATTTGTTTAAATTTCACATAGGCTCCATGGCTTAGATTATTCTGGCTTTATCTGGAAAGCCATATTTGGTTATTTCAGCTGCCACGGACCAATGATGCTTCTCCCTAGATATTTACTTTTATATCACATAGCTTAATATAGAACTAGATGTTATTTTGTTCTTGTTGCTATTGTTTAACATGTGATTATTTTGTTTTCCAATAGTATACTGAACATACAGTCCTACAAAACTGGCAATTTTATATGAGGCAACCTAAAAAAAAAATTGCTTGAGGGCAAAGAGTGAATCTTCTATGCACTTAAAATATTCCCTCCCTGCAGGGCATCTGAGTCTTTGTTGATGGACCAAGGCAGCTTTTTTGTCTCTTCCCTTGGCTGTCAGCAGTCCTGTCTTGGGATTTTTTTTATGTCATAATCATTTTTAATCACGAGGCTGCGTTATGTAGGAAGGAGCAGAAAGAGTATTCGGACTTGGTGGCAGCTCACTTGTGGCCATGTTCCAAATGGCTGAAGCTGCTGGAATTTTTCCTTCCATAAAACTGAGGTAATATTCTGAAACTTATTTTAGAATTTATAAACTTCCTTTATTATAGAAAGGAAAATTTATAATTTTTCAATGGTAAAGATATATATGATTTAAGCCTTTCCTTTGAATACAGTTACTAGCAACAATGGGAAAAGATTTGAGCTCTCTTTTGGCTGCTGGTTTATAGGTTTAATCACTATGAAAAGGGGCCTGTAGGTTTGCTATCTTCTAGGGTTTTTATACATGTCTGTTTTGGACAACTGCTCAAAAATGAATAAAGCATCTTGCCTACCATAGGCTCTCCTCCAACCCAAGAGCCTTAGTCCTTTCACTCTTGCTTCCTAGACATCTTGGGGTGATTTAGGTTAAGTCTCTATTCTACAAACACTAGAAAAATGGTGGCCTCAAATAAAACCTAGGGTGACCTACTACCTTCAGGTTCTAACTGAGAACAATGAGCTGCTGGGATGGCACCGAACCTGGAAAATGATTAGGGGTGGGGCAAAGTCAAAGTCTCCTGACCAAGGAGTGCAGAGCTCTGAGGACGGTCAGGCTGAGAAACTGCTATGTTAACCTTAATCTGGTATTCCTTGCTAGCCACAACAGTCCACAGGGTCCAGCATAGGGAAATCCTATTAACTGTTTACCCTTGCTAGAATGTATCTAGGGGATTCTGATATCACAGAGGGCAAGCATGGCCTGACCAGGACAAAGTAAACCACAGAAGTACTTCCTTAATGAAATTGTCCAAAGCTTATTTTAAAAAGAAAATACAC